ATGAGCTGTCATCAGGTCATTGACGATATGCTTGCAAAGGACACACAATTTAGTTAAGGTAAAAATGCTAGGAAGTTATTCATGACATCTGTCGTGAATATAATACAAAACTGTAATACATTTATGTCTCGTTACATGGTTGGACCTGGTACGTACTTAGATGTAAAAAATATAACAAGCCAAACAATTACATTACAAGTATCTTTTTCGAACAATGATTGTAGAAAGTTTCATTTAGATTTAGAGGGGTTTCCCTGCAATAAAGCTGCTAATGAGGTAAAATGATCTTTGTGGTTGATACTTAGGCACTTCATGTCCAGCCCCTCGAACTGTTGCAAATGTCAGATTATGATACACTTGTGTATAGCCACCCACCTGCAGGTCCAAAATAAATTAATTAATATAATCAGAAAAAAATATAATAACTAGAACATTTTACTAACAAAGAAAATTATTTTAAAGAAAATCATAAGAGAATCGAGCGAGTTTGAGTAGCGATTACGCTTACTTCTTCTTGAAGGTACCAAGGATGCCATCGAGTTTGAATGTGAAGTTTCATCTTTTTAATAGATAGCTGGGTTGAAGTAACTGGCACTACTCCATCTATGTCCCCACTGCACTCACACATCAAACCGTTTTCATATACATATATATATAAATAAATGCATATGTGTAAACTAATTTGCTTAATAATTTTACTTTGTACATTGGTAAATCGTAAAATTTGATTCGCATTTACAAATTTTGGAAAAACTAAAGATATTGGTTTTGATTAAATTAATTACCTGTAAATCCAAAGTCGAATCCCATTAGCCATAATCTCTTTGAGAATCGGGATGACAGTGAACGAACTTTGATTCCAGTTATTCAAGACGACATCGCTGCATTTGTTTTTTTCAAAACAAAATAGATTTCCAGATACATTCATAAAAATACATTATGGATAGAGATAATAAAACTAACTAGAACATTATTGGTTCAGACCAAATTACTGTAAGAAAATTACTGACAGTTGTATAATAATTAAAGACACACACACAAAAAAAAAAAAAAAAAAGTTACTAACCTGCAATTTTGCCAAACATAAGAAGTATTGGCGATGTTGGCATGGAGTTCCTTTTGAACCTCTTCCCTGTTTAAGTAGGCATGGATATATCGAGCACTACATGGATCCGGATGCATCGCCTACGTCAAGATCAAGTTTTAGGTCATAAAATAACTATATGTTGTGGATAAACATATATATACTTATAGGAGAAGTAGATTATGATAATATTACTTACTGAAATGTTTTTGGTGAGGATGGTTTTTGTGCATAAAGGAGCATAAATATTATATGGATCAATGTCGTCACCAGCCTCTTTGCCAGAATCTTCAACAGCTTCTTCGCATTCACGTGGTTGTTTGGTTGCTGAGTATGAAAAGTTACAATATTTTAAAGCTTTACTTACGGTGACATCTGAGTTCAAAGCATGACTTCCGTAATATTCCCATTGTCCGATGGTGTCCGTCTCATCATCAATTACGGCGTTTCCAATCTTCATGAGTTAGATCAATAGTGGTAAAAGTAAGTTAAATTATTAATTAGCATAACAGTGTACGTAGATAGTTTATTTTTGATGTGTCTTGTTGTTTCTATAATGCACAAATTCTACTGTGAGGCAACGCCATAATGGATGGGTGATCCGCCTAATGGTTAGACTGATCGACTCATCATTTTTTTTAAATAAAATTGAATCACTAATAACTGTTACGACAAAACACTGGTAGATTTATATGGTAGTCGGATAACAGTTACGCCATTAATAAGATATCAAATAACTAAACTGCATAAAGTAAATTGACTTACAATGACTCCTTTAAGTTTGATGATAGTGTTGTTAGGCTTCTTATTATGATGCATAATAGTTTGCGCTAGCTGAGGCACGTAATGTCCAGCATAACTTTCACCAGCAATATAAAACTCCCTATTTTTATATTCCGGAAATCTACGCATCCAATTCAAAAGAAAGGTGTAATTGTCCTTTGCCGTGTTTGTATCGCCCGTGGTCAGGTTATTAGACGTTGTGTTTGAATAAGAAAATCCAACCCCAGCAGGAGATTCCAAAAACAGAACGTTTGCAACTGAAATTAAAAAAGGAACAAAAAAAAAATGTATATGAAATATTTGACAAAAGAAGAATGTTACCAAAATGAACATGTGATGAGTTGAGTAAGAATATTCATAATAATAAACCATAATTCCATGCATAGGGGTTTTGATGGAGTGTCTTCCCATCATTGTTAACACGAAACGGGCCAATCTCTTCCATTGCTCCAAAACCTAAAGACGAACATCCAGGTCCTGCAACAAAATTCAAACTCTTGTAAAACTATACTAATAAAGAAAAAGAAAAATCCAAATAAAATTAAGAAAAGGGGAAAAAAACGACGAACCTCCATTGAGCCAGAAAAGAAGGGGCGACTTATCTGGAGAACGTTGAGCTTCCACAAAATAATAAAAGAAGGCTCGGCCGGCCTTTTGATCAACAGTGACATATCCGGCATACTGCTTAAAACTAACCTTACTTGGCTGTCCGGGCAAACTGTCGACTAGGTCTTTCTCTTTGAGCCCTTCTTGTGCTAGAGTTTGCACTTCATGAATAGCTTGAGTGACGTTGAACTCGGTTACATCGATATTACTCTTTTTCGATAGCTTTTGTTTGAAAATACGGGAAAGTGAAACCCTTTGAGTCATTGCAAATATATTTGGTGCAAAACATGATAGAATTAGGTTAAAGAGAATAAGCAAGATTGTTTTATTGCACATTGTAGTTTTTTTTTTTAGCAAGTAATTGAGAAACTTGAGAGTGAGGAATGAGGATTTTTAGTCTGTATAACTTGATAGTGTGTATATGTATGTGTGTGTGTGTATAAAAACGTGTTACACAAATCGTTGCGATTATTAATGGTGTGTGATGGACTTTTGTCTCGCTACTTTTTGAAATTGTAGAAAAACGTGTTTTGACCAGCTGAAATTTATGTATGTAGAAAGATTTGACTGAAAAGAAATACATAGGTATACATGATATTGTATGCGCGTTTTAGCTAGCACAATATGTCATATATCTTTTTGAACCAAAAAAAAAAATTATAAAAAAAAAGTAGGATGTTTCTTTTACGTATTTTGACTATATAATCAATACATGACTTGTTCTTTTTTTTTTTT